AATTCGCTCATCCAGTGGTTCACTTCCATCATTCGCTCATCCAGCGGTTCACTTCCATCATTCGCTCATCCAGATGTTCACTTCCATCATTCGCTCATCCGGCGGTTCCCTTCCATCATTCGCTCGTCCAGCGGTTCCCTTCCATCATTCGCTCGTCCAGCGGTTCACTTCCATCATTCGCTCATCCAGCGGTTCACTTCCATCATTCGCTCATCCGGCGGTTCACTTCCATCATTCGTTCATCCAGCGGTTCACTTCCATCATTCGCTCATCCAGCGGTTCACTTCCATCATTCGCTCATCCGGCGGTTCACTTCCATCATTCGTTCATCCAGCGGTTCACTTCCATCATTCGCTCATCCAGCGGTTCACTTCCATCATTCGCTCATCCAGCGGTTCACTTCCATCATTCGCTCATCCGGCGGTTCACTTCCATCATTCGTTCATCCAGCGGTTCACTTCCATAATTCGCTCATCCAGCGGTTCCCTTCCATCATTCGCTCGTCCAGCGGTTCACTTCCATAATTCGCTCATCCAGCGGTTCACTTCCATCATTCGCTCATCCGGCGGTTCACTTCCATCATTCGTTCATCCAGCGGTTCACTTCCATTCGCTCATCCAGCGGTTCACTTCCATCATTCGCTCATCCGGCGGTTCACTTCCATCATTCGTTCATCCAGCGGTTCACTTCCATAATTCGCTCATCCAGCGGTTCACTTCCATCATTCGCTCATCCGGCGGTTCACTTCCATCATTCGTTCATCCAGCGGTTCACTTCCATAATTTGCTCATCCAGCGGTTCACTTCCATAATTCGCTCATCCAGCGGTTCACTTCCATCATTCGCTCATCCAGCGGTTCACTTCCATCATTCGCTCGTCCAGCGGTTCCTTCCATCATTCGCTCATCCGGCGGTTCACTTCATCATTCGCTCGCGGTTCACTTCCATCATTCGCTCATCCGGCGGTTCACTTCCATCATTCGCTCATCCAGCGGTTCACTTCCATCATTCGCTCATCCATTCACTTCCATCATTCGCTCATCCAGCGGTTCACTTCCATCATTCGTTCATCCGGTTCCATCATCATTCGCTCATCCAGCGGTTCACTTCCATCATTCGCTCATCCAGCGGTTCACTTCCATCATTCGCTCATCCAGCGGTTCACTTCCATCATTCGCTCATCCAGCGGTTCGCCATCATTCGCTCATCCGTACTTCCATCATTCGTTCATCCAGCGGTTCACTTCCATCATTCGCTCATCCAGCGGTTCACTTCCATCATTCGCTCATCCAGCGGTTCATTCCATCATTCGCTCATCCAGCGGTTCACTTCCATCATTCGTTCATCCAGCGGTTCACTTCATCATTCGCTCATCCAGCGGTTCCCTTCCATCATTCGTCATCCAGCGGTTCACTTCCATTTCGCTCATCATTCGCTCATTCGTTCATCCAGCGGTTCACTTCCATCATTCGCTCATCCAGCGGTTCACTTCCATCATTCGCTCATCCAGCGGTTCATTCCATCATTCGCTCATCCAGCGGTTCACTTCCATCATTCGCTCATCCAGCGGTTCATTCCATTCATCCAGCGGTTCACTTCCATCATTCGCTCATCCAGCGGTTCACTTCCATCATTCGCTCATCCAGCGGTTCACTTCCATCATTCGTTCAGCGGTTCACTTCCATCATTCGCTCATCCAGCGGTTCACTTCCATCATTCGCTCATCCGCCGTTCCATCATTCGCTCATCCAGCGGTTCACTTCCATCATTCGCTCATCCGGCGGTTCCTTCCATCATTCGCTCATCCAGTTTCACTTCCATCATTCTCTCATCCGGCGGTTCATTCCATCATTCGCTCATCCAGCGGTTCACTTCCATCATTCGCTCATCCAGCGGTTCCTTCCTCATCCAGCGGTTCACTTCCATCTCATCCGGCGGTTCACTTCCATCATTTGTTCATCCAGCGGTTCACTTCCATCATTCGCTCATCCGGCGGTTCACTTCCATCATTCGCTCATCCGGCGGTTCCTTCCATAATTCGCTCATCCAGCGGTTCCCATCATTCGCTCATCCGGCGGTTCGGCTCATCCAGAGGTTCCTTCCATCATTCGCTCATCCGGCGGTTCCCTTCCATCATTCGCTCGTCCAGCGGTTCCCTTCCATCATTCGCTCGTCCAGCGGTTCACTTCCATATCATCCAGCGGTTCACTTCCATCATTCGCTCATCCGGCGGTTCCATCATTCGTTCATCCAGCGGTTCACTTCCATAATTCGCTCATCCAGCGGTTCACTTCCATCATTCGCTCATCCGGCGGTTCACTTCATCATTCGCTCATCCAGCGGTTCACTTCCATAATTCGCTCATCGGTTCACTTCCATCATTCGCTCATCCAGCGGTTCCAGCTCATCCGGCGGTTCACTTCCATCATTCGTTCATCCAGCGGTTCACTTCCATAATTCGCTCATCCAGCGGTTCCCTTCCATCATTCGCTTCCAGCGGTTCACTTCCATAATTCGCTCATCCAGCGGTTCACTTCCATCATTCGCTCATCCGGCGGTTCACTTCCATCATTCGCTCGTCCAGCTTCACTTCCATAATTCGCTCATCCAGCGGTTCACTTCCATCATTCGCTCATCCGGCGGTTCATTCCATCATTCGTTCATCCAGCGGTTCACTTCCATAATTCGCTCATCCAGCGGTTCATTCGCTCATCCGGCGGTTCATTCCATTTCGTTCATCCGGCGGTTCACTTCCATCATTTGTTCATCCAGCGGTTCACTTCCATCATTCGCTCATCCAGCGGTTCAGCCATCATTCGCTCATCCAGCGGTTCACTTCCATCATTCGCTCGTCCAGCGGTTCACTTCCATCATTCGCTCATCCGGCGGTTCCATCATTCGCTCGTCCAGCGGTTCACTTCCATCATTCGCTCATCCGGCGGTTCACTTCCATCATTCGCTCGACCAGCGGTTCCATCATTCCATCCATTCGTCATCATTCGGCTCATCCAGCGGTTCATCATAATTCGCTCATCCGGCGGTTCCCTTCCATAATTCGCTCATCCAGCGGTTCACTTCCATCATTCGCTCGTCCAGCGGTTCACTTCCATCATTCGCTCATCCGGCGGTTCACTTCCATCATTCGCTCGTCCAGCGGTTCACTTCCATCATTCGCTCATCCGGCGGTTCACTTCCATCATTCGCTCGACCAGCGGTTCACTTCCATCATTCGCTCATCCAGCGGTTCACTTCCATCATTCGCTCATCCGGCGGTTCCCTTCCATAATTCGCTCATCCAGCGGTTCACTTCCATCATTCGCTCATCCGGCGGTTCACTTCCATCATTCGCTCATCCAGAGGTTCCCTTCCATCATTCGCTCATCCGGCGGTTCCCTTCCATCATTCGCTCGTCCAGCGGTTCCCTTCCATCATTCGCTCGTCCAGCGGTTCACTTCCATCATTCGCTCGTTCTCTTTTTCACTTTTATTATTATCTCCTTCAATTCCGTTTTACATTCGGTCAGCTGTTCATTTTTCAATCATCAAAATATACACATGACTTATTCGATCGTCCAGTTATACACTTCTATTATTCAAACTTCCGGTTATGTTCTTCCATTGTGCGCTAATCTATATATACACGTCCATCATTCGCTTTTCCAATTGTTGTTTCAATTAAGTACTTATCCTGTTGTACAATTTCTTTATTCGCTCGTCCAGTTGGTCATTTCAACGAACTTCCATCATTTACTAGTGGAACTCTTCACATCAAACATTGGCTCGTACAGTTGTAAACTTCCTTCATCTGCAGTTTCATTTATTCGCTCGTCCAGGCGCTCATTTCCATCAATTCGTCGGCCAGCTATTCACTTCCATGATTCGCTCGTACAGTCGGTCACTTCCATCGTTCTCCCATCTAGTTGCTGCCTTCCATCATTCGCTCGTCTGTCTATTTCCATGATTCGCTCGTCTGACTGTCAACTTCCATCATTCGTTCGTATAGCCGGTCATTTCCATCATTCGCTCGTACAGCCTGTCATTCCATCATTAGCTCGTCCAGGTGTTCACTTCCATAATTTGGACGTCCAGCTGCTCACTTCCATCATTCTCCCTTCCAGTTGTTGACTTCCATTATTCGCTCGACTAGGTGACTGCTTCCATCGTTTGTTCGTCCAGGTGCTCACTTTCATCAATTCGTTCGTCCCGCTGTTCACTTCCATCATTCCCTCGTCCAGCTGATAACTTCCATCATTCGCTCATCCAGTTGTTGGCTTCCATTAGTCGCTCGAGTAGCTGTCTACTTCCATCATTCGCTCGTACCTGCGGTCACTTCCATTATTCGCTCGTCCAGGTGTTCATTCCATCATACTCTCGTCCAGTTGTACACATCCATCATTCACTCGCCCAGCTGTTCATTCCATCATTCTCTCGTCCAGTTGTTCACTTTCATCATTCGCGCGTACTGCTGTTCATTTTCGCCAATCGCTCGTCAAGGTGTTCACTTCCATTATTCGCTCACTTGCTGTTCACTGTCATCATTCGCTCGTCCACTTGTTTACTTCCATCATTCGCTCATCTAGCTGTCCACTTCCATCATTCTCCCTTCCATCACTTCGCTTGTCCAGCTGTTCAATTTCATCATTCACTCGTCCAACTGGTCACTTCCATCATTCAGTCCAGCCGCTGATCACTTCCATCATTCGTTCCTCCAGGTGTTCCCTTCCATCAATTCGCTTTTATGATGTTTACTTCCATCATTCGCTCATCCAGCTGGTCACTTCCATCATTCGCTCGTCCAGCTGTTCACTTCCATCATTCGCTCGTCCAGCTGGTCACTTCCATCATTCGCTCGTCCAGCTGTTCACTTCCATCATTCGCTCGTCCAGCTGTTCACTTCCATCATTCGCTCGTCCAGCTGGTCATTTACATCATTCGCTCGTCCTGCTGGTCACTTCCATCATTCGTTCATGCAGCTGTTGACTTCCATCTTCCGCTTGTCTAAATGTCTACTTCCATCATTCACTCGTACAGTCTGACACTTCCATCAATTCGCTCGTCCAGGTGTTCATTTCGATCATTCACTCGTCCCGTTGTTGACTTCCATCATTCGCTCGTCAAGCTGTCTACTTCCATCATTCGCTCGTACAGCCGGTTACTCGCTCGTCCAGTTGTTCACTTCCATCATTCGCTAAGTTAGCTGTCTACTTCTATCATTCGCTCGTAAACCCTGTCACATCTATCATTCGCTCGTCCAACTGTTCACTTCCATCATTCGCTCGTCTTGCTGTCAACTTCCATCATCCGCTCGTACACCCTGTCACATCTATCATTCGCTCATCCTGGTGTTCACTTCCATCATTCGCTCGTGTAGCTGTCTACTTCCATCATTCGCTCGTAGAGCAGGTCACTCGCTTGTCCAGCTGTTCACTTCCATCATTCGCTCCAGGTGTTCACTTCCATCATTCGCTCGTGTAGCTGTCTGCTTCCATCATTCGCTCGTACAGCTGGTTACTCGCTTGTCCAGGTGTTCACTTCTATCATTCGCTCGTCCAATTGTTCACTTCCATCATTCGCTCGTACAGTTGTTCACTTCCATCATTCGTTCGTCCATTTGTTAACTTCCACCATTCGCTCGTCCAGGTGTTCACTTCCATCATTCGCTCGTACAGCCGGTCACTCGCTCGTCCGGTTGTTCACTTCCATCATTCGCTCGTACAGTTGTTCGCTTCCATCATTCGTTCGTCCAGTTGTTCACTTCCACCATTCGCTCGTCCAGTTGTTCACTTCCATCATTCGCACGTCCAGCTGTTCACTTCCATCATTCGCTCGTCCAGTTGTTCACTTTCATCATTCGCTCGTACAGTTTTTCACTTCCATCATTCGTTCGTCCAGTTGTTCACTTCCATCATTCGCTCGTGTAACTGTCTACTTCCATCATTCGCTCGTAAACCCTGTCACATCTATCATTCGCTCGTCCAACTGTTCACTTCCATCATTTTCTCGTCGAAATGTTCACTTTAATTATTTGGTCGTCCACGTGTTTACTTCCATCATTCGCTTATTCATTTATTCGCTTCCACCATTCGCTTATCTTGTTTTTCATCTTCATCATTCGCTTCTTCAGTTGTTAACGTCCATCATTCATTCCTCTAATTGTTCACTTCCACTATTCGTTTCTCCAGCTCGTCACTTCCATTATTCCTTTATCTCGTCTACTGTTTTTAGCTTTGATCTTTACGTTATTTATTTAGATCTTCATGGTCTTTATTTCGTTTTTTGTTCCAAACTTCCTAAGCCTAGAATGACACTTCGCGCTATATTTTTCGATTTTAAAATATTTAGTTAAAATATTGTCTTTCGTTATTGTCTTCTTATGTTTTATACAGAGTATCTAACGAAATTTATTTCCCGCGTTACACCATAACAGTTACGTAACAACATATTTCGCATTACTTAACCAAATATTGATTCCCAAGAAATATGTTATTCGAAGTTACCTTCATTTAAAGACATGGTTGAACGATGGTTGAAATATGTTATTATTGAGACTACAGACATAAATGTTGTTCTGGATTTTATCATGACGTCTTTTTGTAGCTGAGAACGTAATCCAACTATATTTTATTTTCGTTAAGCAATGGCTTAAGAAGATAGCAGTGTAGACATTTTCATGTCAGTTCTTTGATGAAGACAGTAAAGAGTTGTCACGTTCACATATCTTGTGATTTTGCCAGCTGAAATAATCGTTGTCTTTAAATATAACTTTACTTTTCAAAACCTTCTATATAATAAACAACAGACACAATTGCACGTTGTCACACATACACATGAGTATATTAAACTTTGTATATTTCTGGGCATATTTTACTTAATAACTGTTAAGAATCCTAAACTAGTACCGAATGTCTGTCCGCCGAGATAACACTGAACTTTGGAAAATTTTGTAACAAATAAATACGACTCGCACCGACTGAGATAATGAATGTTGAGAATACTAAAGAGAGAAACTGAGACAAATTATTAAAAAAATCTGAACAAAAGCTACAAGGAAAATGTTACTAATGGTCAGGAAGAGCGAGCTGAATTGTTTATGACACTTAATGCAAATAAAAAAATGAAAGAATTTAACTCTCATGAGTTACATAAAATGCAAAAAAAGCAAAGGAATTCAGAGAGTTAAACTACTTGACATGCCTGAGCAAAGACGTAACCTCAAGTTCTATGCTAACAGTTTCGTCTATCGCACTTCTCGCTTGTGGAACATATTCCAGTAAGTTTGTTTGTTAGTTTCTAGTTATCAAGCGTTGGTACTGTGAGTCAAATATAAAACCTACGGTTTTAGCTTTTAATCCTGCACTACGTAACCACTTATGTGTATGAGTTTTGCCTACATCAGCTTGTTTGACACAAACAGAGTATTGGCTTTGAAGAGGTTTATCATTCGTCGTTTCTGCATTTGGTCCATTGCATTCGTTTTTGTCTTCTTTTTTAGGTTATTTGCTGCAGCAGTCTGTGTATTATAGTTAGTTTGTTCTTCCCATTCACTTAAAATTCACTTTTGAATTCATTGGCTACCTTTATTACTGAATAAAGTCTTTTTATTTACTTCATTTCTTTCAGATTCTCGTCCAGTCTTCTGTAGTTTCTAGGTAACTTTGAAGACTTTTTTCTTGTTTTGTAAAACAGTTTTAGTTGAACAAAACCTCTGCCTCCTTCGGATTTGCACACAAAGCCGATCAACATCAGACATAGAATGACACATACGGATGACAAGTGAGCGACATTTATTGTTGGTAATTCTCCTTTACTTGAATGTTACTTTGCACATTTATCTAATCCAAAGTCCACAGCAATATCATCACTGAAATAATTTTCAGTATTGAAGAGACCTTTCAAGTCATTATCACCTTTGGCAAAATGTTATCTATGTAGAATAATTGATTAAACAATGTTATTTATTTTGTATCCATTTATTATTATTATTATTATTATTATTATTATATTATAGGATTTTCTACATAATAATTCCATATATCCTTACTCTATGGAATTGTTACACCGAGTTTAACTGTATTGAAAGATATTTTTCTCTTTATCACTCTGAAGATTTATCTTGCGATGGATTTTTCGCCTTTCTTCAGATACATTTATCCACTCATTTGTATTATTATTACTACAGACAATATCTCATTGCCCTGGTAGTATTGGATCATTCAATCAACTCCTTTGAGCGTTCTTCTAATTTGAATTTTTGTCTTCTTTCATTTTTTTATCTGCTGAAACTGCGAAAAGAAAAGCAAATATTAAGACTTGTGAATAATAATTATACTTTATCTCAAACTTCAGACCAAATTACGTTCTAAATAATCTTTTCATTAATTAATTTCCATCCGGTAATGATACGCTTAATATATTCATGGAAATATAATGTCTTTGAAAAATTATAAATATATTATTTGATATTACTGATGGAATTGTCTTTCAAGTTTATAAGTTAGTTTGTTTTCAAATCAGCTTCACTCATGAAGGCCTGTATAACACTAGTTCATTCATATTGTAAAAAATGAGTACGTCATTACTTATTTCAACAATGAATTAGCGAAAAAATTTTCTCACTTTCTCAAAAGTGTAAATTACTGCTTAAACGCAATCTTCAGGCCATGCGTTAAGCATGAAACAGACATTGTCGCCGCTTGGTGTTGACCTCAGTGTCCACTTTTATATTTTGATATTTGCATACGCTCTATTTCTTATATTGATCACTTTAACCTATAAATATAACATATCTTACAACTATATTTATATCATATATATATATATATACATATATATATATATATATATATATATATATATGTGTGTGTGTGTGTGTGTGTGTGTGTGTGTGTGTGTGTGTGTGTGTGTGACCGTGTGGTTAGAACGTTCATACCATATTCGATTTGTCAGGTTTGCTGACTTTTCAATGTTATCGACCCGGTAGGCGATACAAATTTGTGGCGTCGTCAGCTGAAAACCATATCATGTGTTGTGAGTAAAATTGGGTATATAGTGAGAAGATTTCAATGGTTGAACAACAAAACTGTTGGTCACAACAAATTATGCCCTCACTCCCAGAAATTCTAATTAAAGTCATCTCAGCATAGTTTGGCACTATGGATCTGGAACAAATACAAATGTGACTGAATAGACATCTTCAATAGGCTGTGCTCGGAATCATTGAGTATGTATGCTTGTATCTGTCTATGCGAGCATGCTCGTGCTTTTTGAGTAAATTAGAAAACCCATTTCACTTTGTGTCAAAGCAAATTTATAAGCTACAGTGACTTCTATCATGACCCGCTGAATAGAATGTTCAACAACTTTCCGATAATTCAAATTGTAAACTTTTGTATAAGTAATGGAAAATAACAAGAGAAATATTATATTAGTGATGCTGGACTTGACTTATTTAGGTTTTACCCTTGGGACATTTCACGGACAGACGCTCTTTTCAGGTTTCTCTCACAGAAGCATTAATGAGCTTCATACGAAAGACAGTAACGTAGATATTTCCGCAATCAATACATTATGTATGAAGTAAATATGAAGTAGAACAAATCTTTCAACAGTTTCTTGAAAAAAACTTATTCTGCTTACAGTTTCAAAATATTTAGTCTGCGATAAAATCGAGCTATAAGTTATTTATAATTTCAGCTCAAGTTTTTTTGTCTGTATATAAATTTTCATAGATAGGTGACATACGTACAACTCACAGAAATAGTAGAAATGAGTCAATGGACAATTTGTAAATTTGTATTCGCACAAAACTTCATTGATGTCTCTATCTTTCGTAACAAAAACCTTTACTTGATTTATAAGAGAATCGTCAGTCAAAATAGTTTATCCTGAATAACACAGTGATTTGTAATAAATTAATTTTAACTACATCTTAAGTACTTGATTAGAATTTCACTATTTTTATTCCGACGAGAAACATGACGCAATCATTCCCTGTGTCTGCAGTGAATTGAAATTCAAATAGCTCGATTCACCTCTATCAATATTTAACCAGCACTAGACAATTGTTATTTTTAAACATTTACTACAATTTGTCCATAAAGGATTTTGAGTACTTTTAGATGCCCATCAAATAAAATAACCAAACAGATAGGCAACATTTTAAGAAAATGGTTGTGTATTATTCAGGTTTGCATAGAATTTTCAATTCTTTACTTTCCTTGAAATCATGATCTTAATTCTCCGGGCGTAAAATAGATTTTACAAAACGATGATCTTCCTGCGATTGACTAATCCAGATATTTTGTGATCTGAAAATGCAACAGAAAAATTCCAGTTCCTAATTCCTCCAGGGCATCAGCATTAAATACCCTTAATCTGTAATCGGAAAATTACAATCGTTTCCTTTTCTAATTGATTGCTTGCCTTCATTAATAAGATACTTAACTGTTATTATTAATAATAATAGTTAATTGATTATGTTATTAATTTTGTATACAATCAATTCGCACAAATTATTCGAAAGTAATATCTCAGAAAGATAAATGTACAAATTTGCTAGTTTATAAATAATACAAATTATTTAGTCATCCTCTGCCTTTAGGAAAATCATTTTTTTTCTTTAAATAAATCAGTTCCTTTTTATATATGACTAGCAGCATGGCCCGGCGTTGCCCGTGCTTGATTCAAAAACTGTACGACTCATACAGCAATCGCTATCACTTTACTTAAAATATTTTTCCCTTCCTTGCCTTTAAAGGAGTGCCCTTTGCCATGCTGATGTTGCTACATGCCTTACTTCTTGCCTATCTCACACTGCGAATTTTTCTAAGCTCTATACTAAACATTAAATCTGTTACGAAAAAAGAACTAAACAAAATGAACACAAAACGATCAGCTTTAACAAAGGACTCGTAACTGGAAAAACCGAATGAAAAAAAAGAATGTTAACAACAAATACTTTTTTACACCCAACCCAGTTCTTCAGAATCAGAATCAATGTTGAGTTTAAGCAAGCGAATGAGCCAATTGGAGTAAAGTGCCACGCAGATTTAAATTTTTCCCACTTGTGACGAATGCAGCTATTGATTTTTTTTGCATGCTAGCATGCTAGTTAACATTCGTATCAGTCAGCTGTTGTCTTTCACGCTGGCCAATAGAATTTTCCTGCCTATTCGTGGCAGCCAGCTATAGGCTCTCACTCTGGCCAGTAGAAAATGGTTGCAAACTACATGAAAGCTGTCGTAGAAGCATGAAAAAAATCGATTATTTCCACTCTTGATGGGAGTTGGGAAATGTAAAGTCGGTCTTGGGCTTAGAGCATGTGCATGTAAATTTTGGTGCAAATCCGTCGAAAATTGCGGTCGTGCATTCGTTGCACACACACACAAACATCCTGTCTTTTGTAGATAGAGATACACAAATACCTTATGGAAAGA